TGTGGTATACGTAATGAGATGAATATTGTTTTGCAGCTCGTATTTGCTTGATGACTAAATCAATCAATCACTTATCCACTTTGAAATATACTACGTACTAGTACCGGTAATTTAAACTTTCATTATTAATCACCCACTAATTTTTAACAACATAACAAACATTTAATTCCCGAAATTTCCAACAACAAATCATAAGGGATACTCGTAGTTGACTAATATTCATTGCAAATATATTGATTATGATCAATTATTATTAATATTTAGGACCAATCGGTACACGCAAGCTATCACATATATCGCTTGCGCAAAGTGGAACAATACGGGTTATTGTATGACGAGAGTATAAACCTGGAAAGAAGAAAACTGACGGCGCAGTTCTTCATTACATATCAACTTGTTACAATTTGCATAGATTAAAGGGTTATCTGCTCAACCCACATTGAATATAACTACTTACCTGATAGCAGCACCGGGGGAAGGCTCAAAATCATCAATATTATAGACGAATTCTTTTCTTGGCGATGGTTTACCCATGGAGAATGTCTCCCACATATCTATGCCGTCAATTCCAGGTTCTGTAGTGTATAATACAAAACATATTTTAGCAACCTCAATCTAAAATATCGTGACGGATCATTGACAATTGCTTTTGACAAATCCTTTAACAACTCACCAGATTTAGCCCCAGCTATTGATAGTATCGTTTCATGCAAATCGACCATGTGCCATAACCTGTGATCCGAAAGGTAACTTAGTTAAACAAAGTTGTGTCAAAAATTTTTTTTGGGTATTTCAACATATTTTCATCACCTTCACATAAAAATTATGCAAAGTATCGATTTAATGAAAAAAATGCTACTATCAAGATCAAATATAGAAGTACTCTGTATTGCTCAGCATCACATTTTTGGAAGAGTATTTCATCTTATGTACTTGTACTGGCGCTGACTATCTAAAATATCTAATTAACAATCTAACTTGATAACGACAAAATTAGGTTACCTTACATATGATAACACAAACATTATTCTTATACGAGACTGTTAGTGCTAAACTCAGTCTTGAGCAACATTTCCCATTCGTAATTGACGTTCATTAACGTACTCATTATTTATATATCCAGTCTGCGATAACATACTCCCATGAATAAATGCTGGTACGCGAGTAGCGCCTTCAAACAACGTAGCAGCAATTCCCCGTAATGGCCAATTGGACCCCGACTGCGTTGCTAATGCTCCATTCTGTGTAAATAATTACAGGTAAATAAAATTATCTATGAAAATAGTTAAGCAATGCAATCATGAAAAGTGGCAGCGTCATATGAAATGCGTGTCCTGACATGTATTATCTGAATTTTCCGATTTGAATGAGAAGTTAACAATTTTTACCAAAACATTTTGCCTCCAGAAAATGAACACTTAACAACTTGTTGAATTACTAAATTAAACTTGCATATCGAGTATATTGATCACTTACGTCACTCATGAATATCAATAACGTATCGTCCCACATTCCTCTTGTCTTCAACGCCTCCACCACAGTACCAACTGCATCATCCATGACAGACAACTTACCTAAAAGTGAGGGTTTTGAAAGTGGGTGGGTTACGAAAGTGATTTAACAATGGTCGCTAATGTTATCCAATTACACCCTGAAACAGACGATTTCATACGACACACCTGTCATTGTATCGCCATAATTTCCAGCATGTCGTAATTTTGCGGTTGTGCCCGAGGTGTCCACGTCCTACAATACTAGGATTGTGGTCGCTTGTGAAGCAGTGAAACAAAGTTCATAGCATATACGTTCTAGTGGTTGGTCCAGGAATATGTATAATGAAAAGATTATTACAAGGATTCCGCAAAGTATGGACTTGTTACGCTATGTTTGAATCTCGCGTCTTTGTGCATACTATGACATAATGCAATGGCCTCACCCTGACATTTATAGTTATGGTTATGGAGAGATGCGGTATATCCCGTGGAAGTAATTTAATTACACTATAATCAACAACTATTGAGTAAATCATGACAACCTTATTTAAATGTATTTTAATAACGAATAAAATTGAACTCTGAATACATCAAGTCCGCTATCAGAAGTTTTAACAGCATATGACCAGTGATATAACTTGTCGGTACACAAAATCCACTCGGGATAATTTAACATTTTACATTTAATTCATAATTACCTTACAAAAACAAATATTTAGATTTGAATAAACGAATTCGTTCATAGCATACCCAGGTGCCCTAAACCCTAAAAAAAAATCATCCAGAATAGGAGGGGCAGCAAATGATGATGCAAACAAGTTTATATAATAAGGACTACATGTCTGGTGAACCGGATCTGAAGTCTTTCTTCGGAATCCATATATTGGATGAAGTGTGGTCGAAATCAATTGTTTTGGACAGAACAGGAAAAAAGGAAGACTGCTAACCCCAACACTGAGAGTATGTCTAATGCTGGGGAATAGCTTTTCCCCAACAATGAACAATAAAACCAAACCAATATGCCAAACCAACTGAGAAAATAGACTCGTAAAAAGAAATCTGTATGATAAATGCTCATTTGTAGGGGACCCTCTTCTATTCTCATGTAGACTGACTACTGATCAGAGTGCTCTGTTTAATAAATAATGGCCATAAAGATGTTCGGCGTCTACTCAAATACCATGGATGAACATGCTCGATTGACACCCGCAATGTTATTTAATGTGGGCTCCTAAGTAGTTCATGATCAGTAGGGAATCAATAGATAGATCTGGAATCCCCACGTCAGGTTGGATACGTCATCACTTGGGGATGGCTAGACATTCTGGGGTCTATGTCAGTCTCATCTCCGATATCGACCCACATCGCTGGGCTATAATTACTAACACCAGTAATTGATGTACTCTGAAGTTATTCCCACAAAACTCTATTTGAACCACTAGATCACTGATCTTATAACACTGAACACTAGCCTGTGTGGCTGTTGAAATCCATTCTTAGGAATCTGGACCAGAATTGGAAACAATTCATTGCATTTACCCAACAAATACAGAATCATATAATCTACAGGACGTTTGATAGTACAACCTCAAATTATGAAGCAAAAGCATCAATGCGTTTGGGATGAATCAGTAATTTAGGTATAATTTTTGAGATCAAGTGATGCAAGACAGTCATATTTTGCTGACACCTGGGGATGCTAACTCGTAAGCCCACTAGTCAATGCTAAACATTGGAGTTTAGTATGGTGAGTATGACTGAACAAATGAAATCCCTGTTTTAAATGTTGTCGTATTCACACTAAAGTATTTTAACTGCACGTGTGAAGGGCGCAATAAAGTAAACTGATGCAAAGATATAATAATCTGCGTTATATTGCAGCGTCTGGGATTATAATGGTATAATGGGACTGTTTCTTATAGAACAACTATACATGTTGTTTGACAGTCTCTTACTGTTCATCTTTTCCAATCGCAATATGGCTGTATTAATGCTACAGCTTGGACACGCAAATGTGATGTCCCTCTACGTACAACCATCTATACATGGTAACCACAATACATACCATAAAATTTCCTTGTTCGGTTATCTGCAATATCAGAATACAACGCTTCATACTCAGGTGGAACCTGTGTGTACACACAAATAAATAAAATTATGAAATACAGGTAAAATAGAAAAAAAATGAGGTTTTACAGTTCCATATGTGCATATATTGAAAATATTTATTAAACTAGTATAATGTTTTTTTTTGCTTGATTGATAAATAACATGTTACACGGTCATAGTTTGTATATTCTATTCATCACATGCATGCATTTGCGGCATAAACTATTAACAACAAAAATTTAATTTGTGCCTCTCATAGCGTTCTAATTATTTGCGATCAAATAAATATATATGTTTTTTTTACGGATTTTAACACTTAATTAAATTATTGACAATTGTAGTGTTTTTTTTACAGAAAGTGATTACCTCAAGACTCTTTGCAGGCGTATCCAAATTAAACTGCAGATATAATGGATATTCCTTGAAATGTCCCATTATTATCTCTGCTGCTCTTTCAGCAAGCATGAACTACAAAGAAAGGTAGAATGTAGATAAAACTTCGTTTTTTATGGACATGACATGCTTTCTCTAAATTCTTTTCAAAATGTAAATTAAAAAAAAGTGAAACTGTTTATGAAAACACATGATGCCATCAACCGACAAAAATAAAAACCGCTTATTAAACTATACTTTTTTTCTATACTCACTGTGAGATAGGTGTCACTTTTTTGTACAACTCCGCTGTTGTCACGGAAATCATCTAGAAAGTCAAAACAACTCTAAAGTTTAGTTAACTGACCTCGGCCCCCTAAGTCAACTGAAAACTGTCAACCACGTCAATAAACAAGTTATGATGTAAAAAGTAATATAAATACAGCAACATAACGAAATTGGTCACCAGTACTGTATTGCCATGTACAGAAAAGTAGAAATTGCGAAATGCACTAGTAAATATAGACTTGTGTGACTGGATTGTTGTATTTTTGAATACAAGTGGAGTCGAGTTTGTAAAGTGTCTATATTGTTTTTGTTTAGATTATAAATTTAACACACTTCGTAATAATTGCATGCATTGTACTTCAATTCCCGTATTTTCAGATATAAAATCACGCCTATACCTCATACTACAATTAAACTCTAATAGAAGTCAATTTAAAAACAACTATTGCGTTTGTTTAGTTTATAAGATCAAATAGAAAACAGCGTCACTATAGTTGTCTATTTATTCTGAAGATATCCACCATTCAAAAAACGAGCTGGTTTCCGGCAAATGTCCATAACCTAAAAACGCGCTTCTTCACGTTTAAATAATTTTGACATATGAGCATATCATCTCCCAGCAAAAAGATAGTATGAATACGTAGAAACACTTTCGCGACTTTGATACAAACTATAACTGTGGTTTGAAACTAAATCACCCAACCCTTGTCTTTATGCTCGTATGTAACCATGCATATATTATAATAAACACATATTCTTCGATGTAAATAAAGCAATGTTTTCAGTCCAAATATTTCATTATTCGCATTTCACTGAACTTACATCCTTGTGCAAACATGCTTGTCTCTTTAGTCCAATGTGAGGCTCCACCTCCAAGTTGACCATAATGCGAATCAAAGCCACGGCTTGTTGGTAGATACTCCTTCTTACAAAATCCTAAATGCCACCTGCAAAAAAATGAAAGATTTTCATTTTATTTAGCACTAGTAGGCATTATTCACATACTTTGTTGTGCCCGGCCACTACTTATTTTCTAGCCTATTGGAGACGGAAAGCAATGTAAATAATATATGATATGAGTATGTTTTTCATATAGTACTTAGTGTTTTTATGCATTATCTACTTACTTCCCGAGAGCATGCGTTAGATATCCAACATCTTTAAGACTTTGTGGTAATAACTTAAACTCTAATGGAAGCCCACTACGCTCAAGGCCGAACAGCATTCGATGCTGAAAGTAAAATAAAGTAACAAAAACTAATCATATTTATTCAATCAGAACATTATGACATAACATTTATCATGGCATTGTTCAAATTTATTTTGTTCCCAAACGATCCAAAATGACAGAATTGACATTGTCCAAATTGTATACATTTTAACATGTCATGAAACGTGGAGATTTGATCAACGTAAAGCATTATATAATTACCATGCTATCTGCGTTGCAGGATAAACTGCAGGATAAGTTGCAATAAAACAGCTCATTACCTGATTTCCGGTTTTAAACGGATATAATCCCGTCATAAGTGAACTTCTTGATCTGAAGAATGAAATATGCATGTACATTAATAGTTGAATTGAAGCAAATCGCCGAAATTGGGAATTGGAATTGTAAGAACTTGAAATCAAATCTTATACCGTTAAGCATATTGATATATTTCAGTTGATCAGCCAGTAACAAAGTTATTACTTACGGTGTACATGAAGGCTGAACATATGTCTGATTGAATATAACGCCATCGGCGGCGAGTTGATTGAGAATCGGCATCTTGAGATCTGGGTTGTTCCATCCTACGTCATTCCATCCAAGGTCATCTGGTAGTAGCAAAACTATGTGCGGTTGTTTGTACCCTAATGCGCTTAGAGCTAATTTAGGTTAAGCACAATATAAATACACTTCATTATTATTATTATTATTAGTGTATTGATTCACATTATAATTTATCACTATAGCATTATAATATCACTATGCGCATGGTAATAATATTATGGTATGATTTTAAAAGCGTATGGTGGGAATGTCATACCCAAACTTAAACAAACGTCGGATTATGTCAATTCACAATAACACAAAACAAATGACTGACAATAATTGATGAAATAATCCACAAGAAGAAACGACATGTACACTACACTACATCATTCAGAGATTTGTATTTAAAATGTAGAGAACTTGGAATACAATGCAATTTGAAGCGTGCGAGAAATGTCAGTGGCGTCATTCATCCATTCATCTTGCGATGGTATATTTTAAGTGCTCTATTAGGTTGAGCAGGAGCCATTTTTTCCCTGTGCACATCCATTGTATCCATAGACTCCTGTGTATTTTATGGTATTTTTAATAGATACATATTCAAATTAAAATATTTATGGTATAATACCAATCCTTCATTATGCCGTTTTCTCTCCATACCTGACGCATTGTTGTTTCCTCCTTGACACTGACAAGGCTCCACGAGATCTAGCAAAATTAACAATGAGAAAGAGATGATTTTCTCGCGGAAAAGATTAATGTTGACGCAAAAACAATGATTAATTGTATTTCTACATTCTGAATGATAGAAGATTGCACAATTGCTCATGTGTACAATACTTCACGTCAACGTACAGTTGTCATGGTAACAAATTACCCCAAACGCTACTTACCATTGACGTATATTACTAATATTGCGATCAGTATGCTAAGAACTATCAAAGTGACCAATAATATGCCGTAGTTTCGAATCTTGTGTGAAGCTCTTGTGTCACCCTTCTGAAAAAAGAAGCGTATTAGTTTAATGGAATCATGATTGTGATTATTTTGAGTGTTTAATGAATACTTCATGACTATTCAAATGTCAGCTGAATATGACTCATTTGTTATAGGCAATACTTGATATCTATGGACATCGCACTATGAGTAAATCGGCACAATATCCGCCAAGAAACAAGGTTTGATTATCAGCTTATAGGTTAAATTAATATGTAACCTTCAACACCTATACATGAATAATTGACTAAACAGCCACCCACAAAACAATCTACAAGACCTGAGATGTATAATGCAAAACATCATCAAGAAAAGTTGCATAGTTCCTTTGCTAGGTTCTTCGAAAAAATGACTTCATCCATTTTGTATTACATTTCTCCCAAATGGTACAAAACAATGATTGTTGTACCCACAAATTAATGGAATAGTCCAACTACCCCTCGTCGTGGTGACACGTCAAAGACATACCGCGTCTGGTGTTTTGATTTATTGTTACGTAGGCGGGTAGAAAACTTTATTGGGTTTACAACGGTCATTGGGGTATCTAGGACAGTGTTTGGGTATGTTGCAAAGTCTTTCGGTATTTGCCTGACGGGTGAGAGAGTAAGGTGTATCTTGTGCGCTCGCTGTAAAGGCTCAGACGACTACTGTGCATAAATTTATGACAAATATTTTACAGCTGGAGCCACAGAACAGGTAGAGTTGCATGAATAGCCATATCAACATAACATTAGACCCATTGATTAACTCAAAAGACATGATACTCATGCAAGAATGGTCACCATGCTATCACAAATAATCGGTTCATACTCAAGTTAATTAAAAGATTACATGAACACAAGATTTTTTTGCTCTTGTTTGCCTAAACTATTATTCCTAAATAGTCAAAGTGGCAGATCATCTTCATATAACATTATTACATTTAAATTGAATGTTGTTTAATTAGGCATTGATGTAGCTTGTGTGAGGCACATGGTTCCTGGTCTCGATGGTTACCCATATCGCAGATATCTTCTCCGGATCTTTAGGAATTGTCGACATAAGTTGATGGGCACATAGCAATGAACCAAAAGTGATGGAAAACAAAATAGAAAATAAACCGATGTATTCTTAAAGTGGTCAATAGTAATACCATCAAGGCCAGGAGATGTTTCTGGTTTTCACCCTTTAATAAAATTAATGATTTCCCTAGGATAATTCCGTCACATCCTCAGTGAGTCAAAGTCGATGAGGGATTCTACACTGAAATACACGCAAGTCGTATTAGGTAGAGACTAACACAGCTATTCCACCTGTACATCTGTTACAGTGTAAGGCCTGCTTATTGCAATTGAGAGGAACACCCACAGAACTCACACTGGACCGGGGGTTCATTCACTCATAGGGGCAGACAAGAAAATAGTACTGAAAATGGAATACACGCACATCAAAATATTGAGTTAAAGCTCCTGGCTTTAATACCTCTCACAAGTGTGTACTGTTGATAAATCACACCAACTCTGATAAAATCTGGGAGCAGAACTCTGGCAATTTCTTTAGGTAGTCTGTGAACTGATTTTCACTTTACTCCTATAGGGTTTCCGATTTCAACTTCGTGTTAAAATATAATAAAACACTCAATTTTGTGTATTTCAAATTTATGATTTTCAATCCCGGAAGTCTGAATTTGTGTATGCCCAATCGACATAAATTTGCTAAAAACCAGAGACGAAAATCATATTATATGCTACAGTAAATGACGCAAGCGCTATATGTTGCATATGATCTTTGCAATATTTTGAGAGACTCACCATGTTCCAACTTCCCGCTGACGTAGCCTCGGGTACACTTTTCGGTGTTGATTCCATGACCATTGGGATTGAAATGTGATTTAGGCAGAGAATTTAGTAGCTTTTATAGTCACTAGTTTGTAGTCACAAGGTATACGACTCGACCTAAATATTACCAACTACCTATAGAAATCACATTCGGCAACTGGCATTTGATCGGATAGGTCAACCGCTTATTAGAGCGCGTCTAACTAAAATGAGCTATTTTCTTAATAGAAGAGCTTTGTGACACGAGTTCTGACTGGTTGCCGATCCAGTGGGAGGTGATTTGCATAGACAGTTGGTCATAATTAGTTTGTAACCTTTAAACAGAATGCCATAAACCGTCGATCGTATGATGTAATGACACTTATACAACCAAGTAGCCTTGGCGTTATTCTGGCCCATAAGATAAAAAGTTGTAAATTCTAAAGTAAATATTGTCAAACTCTAGTTTATATGGTGTACTCACCATGTACTGTAAGTTTAAACTAACATTGTAATTTCACTGGAAACTATGCACTAAACAGTCGATAGAATTTAAAAAAGAAAGAATAATCATCTCTTTTGGAAACGGACTGTAGTGAGTGGTAGAGAATGCGAGTAATAATCGGTACATTACCTAATTTCACATGTTTTATTGTAGGCATTTTCTATAATAGTTTTCATCATTATATTTTAATTGACAAGGTGCGCAAGACACTTTTAGATATAGTTCACACTGTGTGACAGCATTCATACCTGTGTACTGGTATATGTTAATTTAAAACCATACCACTAATATTGATTGGACACTATAAACTAAACTAATAGTGTGTAAAAACTAATAATATATTATTAGTCCCCGTTCGGACGAAGTCTAATAATTCGTTCGTTCGGAGTCATATCTCACAATCCTTTGGACCGATTCCGTTCATTCTTTGCACGTGCCTAGTAGTTTATGTGGTACATATGCGCATGCAGGGGTTTAGCGATTCGATTTAAAATTGCCGACTGGCAGCCATCTTGTTTTTTAAAATTGTTGTATTTTGGACATGCTTTGTAAGTTTTCATTCAAATTTGGTACATAGATTATACATGTTAGGATACATGTCCTCTGACTGTCCGTGCATCCGTCCATCCGTGTGTGCGTCCGTCCGTCTGTCCGTCCGAGGTCATAATTCACAATCCTTTTGTCCGATTCTGTTCACTCTTTGCATGTGTCTATTACTTTATGTGGGACATATGCACATGCAATGGTTTAGCGATACGATTCAAAATGGCGACTGGCAGGCATCTTCTTTTTTTATAAATGTGGTATCTTGGACATGCTTTGTCAGTTTTCATTCAAATTTGGCACATTTATACACGTTAGGATACATCAAAATCCGATCAAGGATGACCGATTGACAGCCATCTGACTTTTTGGCCTTACTACTTTATTTCCAAGAGTTATGTGCCATTTTCATTTGACATACATCATACATGTCACTTTGTTTCATAATCAGAACAATGATGGCCGAAAAACGGCCATTTTTATTTGTATCCATATTACTATATCTCTGTCATGTATCACTTTTATTGATATTTAGCATTTCATAAATGGATACATGTACAATTTGATCAAATTTGACCGACTGACGGCCATCCTATTTGTTTAAAATGTGATAACTTGCACATGCGTTCATTTGTGATCTATGTTTTTCTTTGCTATGTCTCAAACCGGAGTGGTCTTCACCCGACACATGTTGAATTTGATGTAAATAAACAATCTGTTGTATACGCCACTTGGGACTCAAGTTTCAAGGACATGCTCGCGACAACGCTCCACTGTAATATGACGAGCACAAAGAGAACTTTCAAACATTTAACGGGGACTGTTTCATTTTTAATTACTTATTTGTAGTACATTGTCTCGTTGATAGTCTTGACACAGCACGTACATTGACATCGGACAATGACATGAACTTTTTATCTATTATTCAATCTGTTGTTCCTCCCCATAAGATAAATAAGATAAGATAAATAAAGTTGTAAATTGTAAAATAAATATTATCAACCTCTCGTTTATGGCGTACTCATCATGCACTAGAAGTTCAAACTCACATTTGTTTCATTAAATGGGCTTGGTGTTTGCATAAAAACAACATTATTGCTAACAAATCATAAATTAGCCTCTGCACCTTTTGTTCTAACATCTTTCCAATTGAATTGAATATTTAGATGTCTTGAATTATACATATACATATTTTTACATTCACTAGTACTGTTCTGTTTAAGATATAAAACACGATGTTTTAAGTGCACAGCATTTTTATTCAGAAACATGTTAGGGGAAAGAATTGAGAAATAGGATATGGTGGTTAGTACTATTTTTGTCTAGATTACGAATTTGCACAATAACAATTTCAAATGTTGGTATTTAAGTGGTATATCATTTAGACTACTTTTCTATTATGGGATAGCATCACCCATTTCAACAGAGTTTCTGTTATAATTAAATAAGTGGAGTATGTACATACCTTCAATATGCCTACCCAGTTGCACATAAATATTTCGTTTATCAATCATCTATCATTGTACATCATTCCTTGTAAAATACCTTTGACTGTTTTTTTTTCTCGTTGCTTTTTTGTCTTGATTGTGTATTGTTGCATCACATGCTGCCTGTTTGTCGGTTATAACTTTTCTCTTATAGCCAACAATAATTGAGATAACATCTCAATAACATCTCAACCACGATAACATCGCGCAATGTAAATTTAGAAAATGCTTTTGTGTGTTGAGATCTTGTGGTTGTGTGCTTATTTTGTGAACTTGGCTTTCAACTCCATTGATGCTCAATGCTGAAGCTATACCCATCATCTCATCTTTTATTGTGATGCGCTAATAACATAACGGTTTTCTTGCACTACTAAGTGTGAATGTCTTGTTGTATGTGTCAAAATATCTGCTTGTTGTATATTTCTAGATAATATGTTGTATATGCATACATGCACTAGCTGCTTGTGCAGACATCAGAGAAGAGTTGCTGTCTTTGAAAGCAGCATTAGCTCGGGAAGTGAAGCAAGCCACAAAGTCTAGCCGGTATGTATGGTTTTTGGTAGTCAATTCTAATATTTATAAATTGCCTGTATGATGTCTTAGAGCTTCAGCTTCATCGACAATAAAACAAATCTTGTAATATTGTAGCCCGATGACCTCAAGATTTTCCTTCACGTCACTAACAACGTGACCGAGGTAATGAGGCCTAGACATATTGCCTCTCTTGCCACTCTGTTTTTTCTCCGCGTTCAGTGCGAATAGATAAAACCGGTTCGATCTGTCATCTAGATGTTTTTCCTGTCCAACTTTTTGGTCTGACTAGCGGTCAGACCTGCGTGGCAGCCGATGCTGTGGCTGGTAGGATAAGTCTTTCTTATTATTTACCCCCGTGTCGCCTTTTTGTGTGCATTGCCTTACAATGTGTTTGTTTGTGTTTGGACCAATCAAATCGATGGATTAACACCACCAATATACTGGTATAATATAATTATGTATACTTGCTACTGACAGATTACTGTGCTCACATATGAGAGAATGCGAAAACTATTACCTGGTCACGTGAATCCATTAATTATGTTTTTATCTTTTCACACATTTACTTAATCAAATATATATAGTCCTCATGCTTGCAGCTACACTTTAAAATGTGAATTAGACAGGCTTTCATATCATTGTATATTTGTTACACATGTTTGCGAAATGAATATGTGTTATGTAAGAAAAACACTTTACACTGATTTACACTGCAGAGATTATTTATATTTATTTTTAACAAAGCCAATATATGATTGGCTGTAACAAATATTACTTTAACGTGACCATCTCGAACAAGATTCTGGGATATGTCAACACACAAATTACATATACACGTTAACAATTAAAGTTATATAATTAAAAACCGTAACGATATATGTAAT